GTTTTAACTGCTCGATCACGTGTCCAAAAGCTGCAGCAAAGAGGCACCCTGCATACTATGCACACATGGCGCAAACTGCAAGCACCACACGCTTAGCAGAAGCTGTCCATCTTACCAGCAGGCTCTTAAAGCAAATGGGAAATGAAAATTCTGCAATTGAATTTGAACCATTGCAGAGCGGCTCAGGACTTGCTTGCACAAACAGTGCGAGCCTTAAAAATAGACCTGGCCATTTTGAGTGAGCCATACGCAAGTAAGCATAATGGCATTTGGTTCCAAAATACCCAAGGTGGTGCAGCAATTTGGAGCTGCAGCCCGAGACCACTGCAGATCCAATGCCGGCTGTCGGGTCATCCAGCCGCAGCAGATAATTAGGTTCTCTTAATGTGCGCTCTTATCTTATCTGCATAATAACCATCGCTCTCTATCTCTATCATTCTATTCGCTTTCTAGTTGCTTGTTGGCTTCTACTCTGAGTCTGAAATTGTCTGATCCGTTGTAATTCTAACTCTTCCTTTCGATCTCGCGGACCATTTTTGTTAATCGCTTCTGCTAAAATAAATTCGCTGCCTTTGCAGAAATCGAACTCTAAATGTTCTTGTTTTTATTTAAATAGCTAATAAAAAAGTTTATTAGCTCAACACCGGCATTTAGGCAAAGGTTTTGTTAGGGCGAAGGTGGGTAGCCTCAGACATTTGGCGGCATTGTCGACGAAATTCTGTAGGACGCTAGAGGATGACACACTATCATCATTGCCGGCGATTTCAACGCCTGGGCAACGGAGTTGCCATAGGGGCCACATACTGTTGGACGCTGTTGCCCTGTCAGGCCTCGCTCTGGCTAACACAGGGTCAGCCAACACTTATGAAAAGGCGGGAATGGGTTCTGTGATCGACATCACGTTTATGAGCCCAACCCTAACCAGAACGTCAGCATGGCAAGTCTCAGACATCTATACCGGTAGTGACCTTCGGGCCACCACCATGGAAATACGAGACGGGCGATTCAAACGCAAAAACACCAATGCGTCCACTGGGTTCCGAGTTTCTACCCTCGACCCGCAAGCCCTGATCTTAATGGCGGAAGACCTCGCTTACGGCGAGCGTAAAAGCGCCTATAAAAACGCTGTATGCATAAAGAAGGCAACTTGGTCAGCATGTGAAGCTTCCATGCAAAGGAGAAGTGCTGGCGGAAATAAGTGCCCACCGGTGTATTGGTGAACCGATGCCATTGCCGAGGCGCGCAGGAAGTGCCACCAGGCACGAAGGCTATATATGCGCTCTCGAGGTAGGCCGAACCTCTTCCCACCAAGTGAAGCACTGCAGCCAAAGCAAGAACCCTCTCCGCTACAAAGTGATAAAATTTCCATGTTGACAAATGCTGCGGAAGTCTTGGCTGAAGTTAGGAGAATCAAAGTCGAAAAGGCCCCTGGCCCAGATATTATTCCTAATAAGGCATTAAAGATCTTAATGACGGAGAGATTAGAGATCTTCGTCAGGCTCTTCAATGCCTGTTTCGCCTAGAAAACGTTCCCTGAAGCATGGAAAATGCAGAGACTGGTACTTTTATCCAAGGGCAACCAAACTGATAACCTTGCGGCTTATAGACCATTCTGCATGCTTGATACAGTAGCAAAAGTATATGAGAGGCTCATCTGCAACCGCATCGAAGTTGCACTTTCCGAGGATCCGGGCTTGTCCCATAATCAATTTGGATTTAGGAAGAACCGCTCCACAGTGGACGCGATCGGGCTGGTGCACAAACTGGCCGCTGAGGCAAATACTACCTTGTGACTACTCTGGACGTGAAAAACGCATTTAATACAGCAAACTGGGTGCGGATACTTTCGGCCCTGAGACGTTTACAGGTCCCCAGCTATCTGGTAGACATAGTCTCAGAGTATCTTAGCAACAGACGGCTTTTATACTATACTGAGGAGGGCCGCCGAAGCTATTCAGTTTCAGCAGATGTTCCTCAGGGCTCGGTGCTGGGCCCTACCCTCTGGAACTGAATGTACGACGGAATTCTCAACCTACAGCTCCCTGAAGGAGCCACGATCGTCGGCTTCGCAGACGATATTACTGTCGTCGCAGTAGCGAAGCACCTAAATGAAGCCGAAGCAGTAACAAATGCGTCTATCGAGCAATCTTCCCATTGGCTATGTGCTAATGGTTTGAAGCTCGCCGAGCACAAGACGGAATCAGTCTTGATTAGCTGCAGGAAGGCGGTAGAAACTAGAGGTGGAGAACTATCGATGGCACTATCGGGACTATCGATGGTTTGCCACTATCGATATGCAATCGATAACGGCGCGCACTCTCGATAGTGGTCAATCGCTATCGTCGATTGTTGTCGATATTTTGGTTTTCCCATGTCTACGTTAAAAGTGTAAAGAAAAGGAAATTGGGCGAATTTGTTACAGAGTTTTATAAATTGTTATTAAAAACATAATGGATCGTTTTCTTCAAATAGGTAAGATATTGTTATTTTGTTGTTATATTGTAATTTTGTATTATAAAGTTAAAAGCCAAATTTTGTGTGACAATAACAAAAGTGCTACGTGAGATGCCATTACTGCTATTACGGTTTGTTGTGAAATACATACGCATATATACATACATTCGTTTCTTTTTCAAAAAGATAAATTCATAAAAATAAAAGTATTCATTTAATTAAAGGAAAACGCCGAACATATATAAATTTATAGAAAGCAGTTAAGGTAAGCCTAAAAAAACAAAATCATATTATTCGAATAATAATTATTTATTCTTTTCAGATAAAGATTGGCAAACCAATGTCATATTTTATAAATAAATACTTTATATATAAATAAATATCATTAGAAACACTAATTAAATTATTTTTTTTGAGTGTACTCTGCACTATCGACAACTATCGACGATAGATTTTCTTTGCTATCGCCGATAGTCAATAGTTTATGAAAACTATCAGGCGCTATCGATGGCGCAGACTATCGATAGTTCTCGCCCTCTAGTAGAAACCGCCCAAATAATAGTGGGTAGGACTGCTATACGGTCCAAGCCCTTCATTAGGTACCTTGGCGTAATGCTGGATCACCGGCTTGCGTATAAAATCCATCTAGAAGTAACGGGCAATAAAGCTGCTAAAGTAGCAACGTCCTTAGCTAGAATGTTAGAAAATGTTAACGGCCAAAACAGCAGAGTAGGCCCTTTCTGGAAAATCTGGTGAAAGCCACAATCATGTATGCGGCACCGATCTGGGCTCCGGCCATGACCTCACCTACATATAACCGCTCATGCAAGGCGGCATACAGACGCACCGCACTCCGAGTGATATGCGGCTTTCGGACCATTTCCGATGATAGTGCATTGTTCCTAGCCGCCATGATGCTCCTAGACCTGCTCGCAAAACAGGCGCAGGAGCTGGCCGGCGAAAATCCTTCGATCGATGAGATTAGAGCCCGCGTGGTCTCAGCGTGGCGAAGCCGATGGAGTGGTAGCTGAAAAGGTAGGTGGACGTATAAGCTACTGCCCGATGTGGAGCGTTGGGCAGAAAGAAAGCACGGACAAGTTGACGCAACTATTGACAGGACATGGGTGCTTTAAATCCTATCTTCATCGGTTTGGGCACGAGACAGACCCGTTCTGCGTTCTGGGGCAATCGAAAACACAGAACATGTTTTCTTTGTCTGTCCGTGATTTGAAGCTATAAGGCATGAGCTCAGCTTAGCAATTGGGAAGCCGTTCATGGTCTCTGACCTGATGGATACGCTACTGGGCTTACAAAACAATTGGGATTCCGTAAGCAAATGACAGTCTCTGTCATGAAAGCCATGCGTCGCGCTGAACGTCAGCGTAATCGTCTTCTAACTAATTTAATTACTAGTTGCGGCTTTTCAGGCCATCTCCCCCTCGCGAAGTAATAGCCAAGGTTAACCCCTGCGGTTGTACCGTGAGAGGGAAACGGAGAGTAGGTTCAGGGTTTTACTGGGTGAAAGACCTAGACTTCGGCTCTTCAAGCTTTCCCCCTATACAAAAAAAAAAAAAGAAATAAAAATAAAAAAAACGGGAGACCAAATGGATCCAGTTGAAGCTAAAAGCTAGTAGCCTCTCCATTAAAACTCGAGAACAAACTGCTCTTTTATAATGCGGTCCCCAAACTAGTCTGTATATGGTTAGGGTAAACGCCAGAAGCAGTAACATTGACTTAATCCAAAAGGCACAATCTAAAATATTAAAAACCATCACTGGAGCACCATGGTACATCCGTAATTGTAATATCGACAAAAATCTGAATGCTCAACTTGTCCAAACTGAAAAAAAAAACAACAACACCACCCGAACCCGTCTCAGGCGAAGAGATCTCCCCACCCAGCATTAAATGTTAGGGCATTAACACAAAAACTTTTTTTGAGCTGTTAAGTTGACCTGTATATCCGTCTGTTTAAGCGTCATATAAAATTAACAGAACCGTGTAAAACAATCCCGACTATGTTGCTCGATCTTCTGGAAATCACTGGCTGTTTGCAGTCAATTCTAGTGCTGGCTCTACCATAAAAATTCTAGTATCGGTAAAGATTTGTCAACAGTTTGTATTTATCGGCGTTTTATGACGCTCCAGCGGGGTTCAGCATCTGTAAGGTCGGCGGGGTTATGGGATGACCAGCGATGATATCCTCGGATTTGCGTTGATGGTCATTTCTGACGAAGGCTGTTTGATCTACGAGACCTTGAAAGTCCCTGAAAGGGCGGATCGTGAGCTGCGTCCTATTATAGCACGCAAGAACCTTGGTATTCCAAATCTAGCCAGGACTCCCTAACGAGTTGCATATCCAACAATGAACTGCTTTGCAATTCTAAACAATTTGCTACTTCTTGACTTGTAGTCCCTTCAGCGGAAAATGCTGAAAGCGCTTTTTGAGGTTCTGAACGATATTTTCTGATAATCAATATTCATTAGAGAGAGTTCCTGCGTTAATACTAAGATAACATATAAATATTTCTATTTTAGAAACTTACGCTTTCGAGTTACTTGAATTTCGTTAAGTTGGTCGCTTCTTTTTTGTGACAAATTAACAAAATGGTTCTGCAACATTATCCAAAATTGTTGATGCTCTCGAATTTGAAGCTCTCCTGTGTGAATAGATTTCTCAAATTGCTTGATCTGAAAAAATATATTTTTAAAGAAAAAGCATTAGATTTTATGCAGAGTTTCTTCTATTATAAGATACTCGCTACTAACTGCCCTGCCATTTGAATTTGTTAAGATATTAGTGATACATAAATATACTCGAATAACTATAATAAAATAAAGAATATTTTGGGTAAAACAATATTTTTGTTTTTATTTTTATACCCGCTACTAGTATTTGTAGAAAATTATGTTATAGAATTTGAATTAAGATCATCAGACAAGTTCATCCAGCCAGAAGTGGCTCAGGGCTTAAAAAGATCATATGAAGAGGTCATCTTGTTCGTGGGCAACTAAGAATCAATAAGAGCCATGCAATCGTTAGCGGGCATGGGGCTCTGCATAGATACCCCTTTATTGCAGACTATTAATTAGGATTTTAACAGATCATTGACTGGCTGTGTTTCACGCAACCAAATTACGCTCCACCAACATTAGCAATTGCAGGAAATGTGGTGAGTCCTGGGTAATCGAAACACTGAAATCCCTCGTTCGTAAATACACCGCCATGATACTGGCATTACTTGAAGATGCTTCCAAAAAATCTTGCCTTCGCCAAAATCAACTGAATTCTTACTGCTAAATATGGGTCATACTGGCCTACATTTTCCCCTCTACGGTCATCCTGGTCAATCTAACCTAACCAAATTCACGTACAACAATAAACAATTTAAAAGAAAAAAGATCAGTAGTGATGACAACGTTTTTCTGGAGATAAAAATATCAATGCTATAACATACAACTAATTATAGTGAATGCTATTACCTATGACTACTTCTTCAGCAAGTACGAGGCCAAACCTTATTTTTAGATCTTAAAACACATAGCACATTTTTATTGACTTGTAAAGTATAGGGATTAATAACTGTTTTGAAAACTTCCAATTATAGAATAGAGGGTAACCTTTATCTTTAAATAAGCTTAAGCCTTATAAATTTAACGATAATTAAATGTATAAGCGGGAACTTTTCAGCAAAAGGTGTTAATGTTAATGTAATTAGAAAATACTAATAAAAAAAAAATTTAAGCATTAAAAGCAGCTGATCCCGAACGGGTCTTACCTTTAAGTCTGTAGGATTTCCAGATGCATTGCCAAATAGTTTTTGCATTTGTTCTACTTTATAATTCACCTTTTCAAACAATTTCATTTTGATTTCAATTTGAATGTGCATCTTTTTTAGATCATTTTCCAAGGTAATGGATTTGTTTTCAGCATTATTTAATTTTGTTTTTGTAGTATCATTATATTTTCTCGCGTTAAAAACCGCACTTCTTAGATTCTCGACCTGAAGCATTGAAGTTGCCAGTTGATTCTGAACTTTTGACAATGATAAATCAACATTTCGACGTCGTTCTTGTGATTTGTTTAACAGTTTCAAACGGTATGAGGTTGCCTTATCAGTAATTAAATAATCCTGAGCCATCTTTAATGTAGCATCCTCATATCGAAACTTTTGGTTTTGATATTTGTCAACTGTGAATTCATGTTTTCTTATTTCAGAAAACAGTCGGGTGCCATCTCGAATTGCTTCTTGCAGATCAGATTCCGTACTATTAAGAAACTCTGGGAGCTCATCTAGCTTGCCTTGCAGCCTAAGAAGTGTTTCGTTCTCATCTTGACCTTAAAGCAATAATACAAAACTAAGGTTAGTATCTCTTCTGATTAAATATATTCTAATATTTCTACGTAAGTTAGATGTAAGTTAGGTGTCGTACACCTGAATCTTAAGAGTTAAGCATACAGATTAAAAATGTATCTATTATCTAAAAATACAGGTAGCACAGCCAATGTTATATCCCTACTCTAATTTTGTATTTACTGCAATCATGTGAAACCTGTTTTCAAAAACTCACAAAGTAATATAATTCTTGATCTTGATGCCAAAATATTTGGTTAACTTCAAAATAACTTTTGGTTTTTTCATAAAAAGGTGCATTTCGGATTTGAAAAAGAAATATATTATATTACAAACAAATGGGTGTAAAATCGATATATATGTACATAAACATTCGTTTTAACAAAAACAGTTAGCGTATCCTGTTTCTTTTATATATGTGGGGTATCGATATATACTATACATCTCACGGAGAGGAACAACCGATGCTCATCACACGCAATCGCAACAAAACAAATAAAACGGAATTTCAAAATGTTACTTTACGACTTGAAATTATACAACGGATTTTGGGACTGATGTACTTGGACTCCAAAGCTGGGTTCTGAGTCCTTTGATGACTGGGAATGAGTGGAAAAATTTTCTCTCGAAAAAAATAGTCCTCTTCGCGGTGGTGCCGCTCCTCTTTCTCTGTCTCGCTGGAATAGAGTTGCGCTCTGATCCTTCCTAGTCTTGCTGATATAAAACTGCTCCAATACCTACGTGACTAGCATCACACTGTATCCAGAAGTATTTTCCAAAGTCTTCCACCGGCACGTAAGGGCTTTTCTAAGCGATTTAAAGGTTTCGTCCAAAAAATTTTGACTTATTTTTCAGGCAATATGTGAGCGGTGCATTTGCTCCGGAGAAATTTTGGATAAAGCAGCGATACCAGCCTGCAGTTCTTTAAAACTGGAAAGCTGTCGGGTGTTTTTAGGAACATCAATTTTATTAATCGCATCGACTTTCTATGGTTCTGTTCGTAAGGCTCCATCGCCTATAATATGCCCCATTTCCAGGTTTCCGCACCAGCGTCGTTAGTTTGTTCCAGGGGCTTTTACTTAGATTAATAACCCCTAAACGCACTCCGGAGACACTGGGAAAAGTCGTTCCTTGACGGTTACTGCGCCTTTCACCAACTGGGTCGTCCTAATCCTTGTTTTTCGTATATAATAATATTTAGTTTCTTTCAGTTCCTCGGAATGTGGTTCTATTCGCTCTTCTTTGGTCATGAGCTCCGGTTCCATTTGCTATAAGTATTCCACATCGACTACTTCTGTGCTAGGCTAAACTATTTCCAGGAATCGATGCCCAGGTATAATTTCTGCTTTAAGGATGGACAAAGAAGAGTCGGTAACCGATGTGCAATCCCATTATAGGAGATGTTGGAATGGGTCTTCCCTACCACTCGGTACTATGTACTTTTTGTAATTGATTGTGACTTCTCCAACCTCAGACCTAATGTTTTTACTACTTGTAGGCAACCTTTTCCAACTAAGCTAACGGATGCTTCAGAATTCAGAAGACCCACGACCTCTAGTCCCTCCAGTCAACATAAATAGTCAGTTGTCGCCTTTCACTGCAGACGTTATGGCGGAACAGATTTTTCTTCGCTGTGCCTTTCGCTGATAACATCTTTTACGTGCACTGGCTATTTTAGGCGAAATACAAGTACTTAGGATCAAGTCCACTTGTATTTGAAATATTTGATTCCGTCAATCCTGGTATCGTAGTTCTCGTAGTGCTATTGGATCGTGTTTTGAAAAGTTTCAAATTTATCATCATTTAATTTAAAGTATCTATTTTATCAATTAACAGGCTGGAACGTGGCTCCACCCACCGTTTTCCTTCCGACACCGTGGACACTTTGGAAGGCTGTCGTTGGGTCCATTGGGTCGCCAGGGTTTTCTCCGGATATTTGATTTTCGAAATCTGATCCCTTATATTTATTTGAATTACAATAGAATCCGGTTATAGTGACTTTCCGAGTTTTCGTCGTTATACCCGGAAGACGCAATAACCAAAAGGAGCAAAAAAAATTTTTTTGTGTTTTTTATGTTTGCTATTTTCGTAATAGGTTTTTGAAAATAAACCAAATTAATTTTTTAATTAAAACGAAAAAATTAATAAATATAATGAGGTCTGCTCATGCAGTGTGACGTCGGCATTGCAATTTGACTTTCTTTCTCTCTCTCTCTCTCTCTCTCTCTCGCAGCAGCATTGTTACGGCGACAGCTAAAACTAACAGAGTGTAGTGACAGTGTAAGAACATTCTTGTCGCTGCAACGCACACAAACTAGGGTGCCGATCACTGATAAATACATACATATATTTTTTTAACAGTGTGTTTTGATACTTAAATTTGGAACTATTGCACTGTATGTTTTTTGGCACAACGTAATATCCGGTTGAAATGTTTAATTTTTTTGAAAAATTTCGTTCTTGTAAGCGGTTTGTCGCTAAAAGCGGAAACGCACTAAGCAGAGACCCTTTCATATAAGTTTGTATGAGGACCAATCAAGTCATCGAATTTTTGTCGCAAAACCCGAACGGACACGATAAGCGGAGTCGTTATTACAGAATTCTACTGTACTTTTATCAGGACAAAGTCCGAAAACGGCATCTCAAGTCGCGACCTCAAGGCCAACATCGTCTGGATATATACCTCAATGGTTTTCTCCGGCTTCTGCTTCCGTTCCCGCAGCCTATACTTCTTCTCGGAATTGGATCGCTGGCGCTGGTACTGTTGTAGAAGCGCATACCTCAAGTAAGGTCACTCCACAGACCTCACTTATATCCAGTACTACTCTTGTCCTTCGACTAAAACATGAAATTTCCTCAGGACTTCCTTCCACGGCACCTGACAGGATCTTTGAAGACGTTCCAGTCGAAATATAAATTCTGATACCGGCATACTTTTGGGACTTCCATCAAAGGTAATTTACCGACTTGTACCACCGTTTCGCGTCTATTGACTCTTGTCATACGCGGATCTTGCCCTGAAAAACTGTCATTTGGCACCCTGCTTGTTCAGGGAGAAGGTTCCGGATATGCTGTTCGCTTTTATTTCGCTCTCCTATGCTCGGAATCCGGTGAGCTTGTCGACCGCTGTCCTCTTTCTGGTTACCAATGCTCAAGGTCAACTGGTTCAAAGGAATCTGATTCTGCGTTCCGACCGGTTTTAACAATCCTTCCAAGTTCCGGTCAATGTTCTGCTGATAGGACGATGGCCCTGGTTGTGGAAGATTTACTCCCGCAGGGAGACGTGCCCCCGATGGCTGCTGCTGACCTTGAGCCAGACGGATCTGAGCCGATGCCCATCTCTTCATCACTTCTCGCTGTCACTCCGACATGCATTGCACAGTGGCCAGTCTGGTATGGAGAAAAAAAATTATATTCTTTCACTCCACCCGGGAGCATAGAGCCTCTACAGTTTTTGTAGAAGATTTCATAATCTTTGATTTTCGATCGTACTGGTGATTAGCCAGGAGCGATTTATCCTAGCGGTGGGGTTGCCACCTGGTGCCATCTAGGAGTGACGAAAGTTCTATTATTGTGCCCATAGTAACGTGGACGAGGGGGTGTGCGGGTCCGGGGACCCGAAACCAGCGCTTTACCTGCTGGTCCACTGACCCCATGGAGAAGGTGGCCAAAAATACTTTCAGTAGAGATATCAACTTGAAATTTTTTTGTAGGTGTATAATAGCGTAGGCATATTATATTTAAAGAACCAGCACCATTAACGCCATAAAGGTCCCTACCATCGTGTTTACAATCAAATCTGTAAAATTCGACTCCCAAATGCACACTACACTTTTTGTTAAGCGTTACTGAGTTGCTTGATTAGCGCGCTTACTTTGCGCGCTATTTTCTCCGCGATTGTGTGGAGCAAAACAAAACTATTAATCGCTTTTAAAGCCTTGTTTTATGGGTAAATAGATGCGCCATGTTTAAAATAAAATTTTTGGCCTATGGCCATTGATATCCTTCATAAATTGCAACATGTCCTGCCACATCTGATGCTTGAACGCCTCGTACTCCAGGGACATCCCCTGGATCCCTCGTCTGCTGTGCTTGAAACTGTGCTCCATTTACCCCACATATTATTTTAGATAGAAAATTCTTCGGGATTGCCCCTGTTCCGCCCGTAAGCTCGCCTTACCCGGACTCTCACTTTGAATTTCCTGAGGAATACGATCTGTTGAGGGCTCCATGCCTTCGGCACGAGATTTGTTTTCCAGATTCTCTTCTCCGCCTCACTGATCCCCTATTCCAAACAAACTCCAAATTAATCCTTAATTTTCATCCAATTTTGTTACCCTACTTGCTTTCATCAAATTTGGTTGCTAACTCTTGTTTTCCAATTCCTGTCTCCTTTTTTTAATCTAGGAGGTGATACTTTTTTGTGGAGTGTTGTGCAGCTAGGGATATCACAAACACTAGTGTTTCAACTGAGCTGTCAATCTCTTCTTTTTGATACATGTTTGGAAGCGATCAATATGGGTACTTACATACTTTCTGTATTTAAGCCAATCTGTTTTACTGAAAGTAAGAAAATTTGTTCGTTTTGAAAGCTGAGGGTGGTCGTAGGGAAAAAGTATAATGGGCGAGTGATCCGATGAAAGATCTGTTAAGTATTCCACATGAACATAACGGCAAAATCATCAGGTCAGGCTTCTTATTAGGATCTGCTGTCCAATATGTAGGCTTACCTGGAGAGATAAGGTCAAGCTTGTTTCTTGGTGTTAGTATAGCGTCTTCTTTGGGGTTGGTGAGTTGAGAGCCCCAATGGGTTGTTTTGCGTTGCAGTCACCAACCGCTTAAAAACGGTCACCTAAAAGGTCAAAGAACTGTACAAATTCATCTTCGGAAATGGAAAAGCGTGGTGGGCAGTATACAGTGGGTAGGTTTAAGAATCCGCTTTGAGTATCGATGTGTATTGAAGAAGCTTGCAAATAGGCTGTTG